TTCTAGTTAGCTGTATAGTGATCGGAAAACAACTTTGGCCGAAAAAAGTACCAACTTCTAGATTTGGGTCATTTTCTCGGAACATCTAATGAGAACCATATAACTTATTAGAAGAGTGTGAGCTTTGATTATGGCTATAAGTACAGGACTACTAGACTAAAACAACCTTCAAAGGATTTCTTTTTATATTAAGATTTGACTGACATATGAATGTTTCAAAACACGGTATTTTTAAAAAATCACAAAAATATGAAAAATTCCTTTTTTTTTCAAACATTCATATCTCAGTCAAATCTCAGTATAAAAAAGAAATCATTTGGAGGTTGTTCTAGTCTAGTGGTCCTGTACTTATATCAAAATCTTGTCATAAGTTGTATGTTACGAGAAAACGATCCAAATCTAGAAGCCGGTAATTTTTTCGGCCAAAGTTGTTTTCCGATCACTATACAGCTAACTAGAATAAACAAGAAGCCGATAAAGAAACTCTTCCCAAAAAATGGTTGGATATCCATGAATTTATCTTTTTCGTTTCGATGATTCGTATCAATTCGGTTTAAATTTATTTTCTTTTATAAATTTAAATACGATTATGACACTTACTACATGGTACAATGACAGATATTTTGTTAATAAATGATGTAAAATTTTGTTCAATTGCAACATTGGATGGTTTGTCAAATTCTTTTGATAATTTTATTAATGTTTCTTTGAGTTGATTTAAATGAATTTCGTTATATTCATTTTCTTGATGAATTCGTTTCAATTCTTCAGTTAATTTAACTAATCTATTTTCAATACGAATAATATATTTATTTGTATAATTAATTAATTTGCGTCTACATTCATTTGCTGTTTGTTTTATTTTATTGATTGAATCATCTTCCCATTGATTAATTTGTTGTATCAATGGACGTTTTTTTAGATCATCTTTTTGATCAATAACTGTTTGTAAAAATGAACTACAATCATCTTTAATTTTATCAAATTGTTGATTAATTTTTTCATGATGTTGTGCTAAATGTTTGGAACAAAAATGTTCCGAGCATCCTTTGCATTCATACGTGTTTGTTTCTTGATTACATATAAAACATTGTGCTTTATCAGTTACCGCGCCCATGTGTTGAATAATTTAGAAAAGTAAAAAAACGCAAGTGTCGAAACAGATAAAAAACAAAATGAGTCAATGTGAATAAAGATTAGTAACAAATAAAAGAATGAAAAATATTTCTTCGATAATATGAATCATGTGTTAACTTTGATTAAAGATGAATCCAATGTGACAAATAAAATCAACGATGTTTTTTCGATATTTAGTTATTAATTATAATCATTTTTATTCTCTCAACTGTTGGAAGGGTCATATGAAGAAAAGGTGACAAGAGACAATCAAGAATGAGAGGAAAGGAAGAAATTTAATTGGTACGTGCATCCGACCTATCATATCGATATAGAGAGAGATGACGCAAGGTGATAGATGGCTGAGTGTCTCTGAAAAGAAAGAGAACAAGCATATAACTTGATCAGGAGTTTATTGAAAAGAGAAGGGAATCACAGAACAAGATAAAGATCACGAATACATCTAGTGAGATTCTCTAATGGCCTATCTCCATACTTCCGCTGCCACATGAACTCAGCCAAATCAGTGCACTCTAAAAAAAATAAGTACTCCCAGAAACCGATAGAGGGTTTCCGAGTGTGTCCCTATATGAAACCCTTTATAGGTTTCCGGGAAAGGGTTTTCGAGCTCCAGCAAATCTATTGGAAACCATTTTCACTACTGAAAAAAGGCATCGACCTCGGAAATTCTACACAGGTTTCCGATACTTAGCATACTATCAAAGGTTTCCGCTTGATCAATTCTCGAAATATTGATATGCATACATCTCAATCTATATCAATTGAAATACCGAAAACACGACTTACATTTCTATATAAAAAATATAGAAATACTGATATATCCATATTTCAATCTATATAGACTGAGATATACAAAACAAGACTTAGATGTCTATATCATAGATATACAAAATAAGCCTATTGTTATATCTCAATTTATATCAATTGACATATTCAAAAGAAGACTTACGATTCCATATCATAGACATAGAAACAAATAAATATATATATATCTCAATCCATATCAATTGAGATATTGAGAACAAAACTTAGATTTCTATATCATAGATATAGAAATAATGATATACAGTCCACGAAAACTGAAAATATATTCTTTGATTTATTTTGTTTTTTATTACTATACTATTTTTATGTCTTAGCACACTATATATAGGAAGAAAGCCCTGGAACGCGCTGCATCTTTTCGTATATTTACATCGAACATCAAATGCAGTTTAACATGTAAAAAGTCTATTAGAAAGACAAATGGTATTTGCTTTTTTTTACAGTTTTTTTTACATGTTGTAACATTTTTTATTTCGCATATATGTCGGCCTAGATAAATGATAAAACCTTGAATTCTTGTCCAAAAGATGTGTCGTGAAAAGCTCTACAGAAGCTGTATGATCGGATTTCTTTTTACCTGTTCTAATGGATTTTCTTATACTCAAAATGAGCAACTTACATGGCAGAAATCACTTCCGATCATACTGAAAATGTTGGAAGACTTTTTTGTTCTGCATATATCTCAACCTGGAAAAACGATGGAATATTGAATTTTTTTTTGGAAATATGTACCATCGAAAGCTCTACAAAACTTGCATAGACCAAATCCTATAGCCAATCAGAAAAGTCCTCGATCTATCTTCAGCAATGATGGAAGGCGACACCGGGATGTAAGTTGTTCATTTTGAGTATAAGAAAAACCATTAGAACAGGTAAAAAGAAATTCAATCATACGGCTTTGGTAGAGCTTTTCACGGCGCATCTTTTGAAAAAAAATTCAAGGTTTTATCATTTACCTAAGCTGAGATATATGCGAAAAAAAAACGTTGCAAGATTATGGACACCCGAAATGTGTAAAAAGAAAATATGTGACTTTTTTTCTTCCTATACGTAGTACGTTAATACATAAAAACGTATTGTAATAAGAAACAAAAAAAAACCAAAGGGTATATTTTCAATTTTCGTGGACTGTATCTATATCTCAATCTCTATCGACTGGGATATTTCAAACAAAATTTAGATTTCTATATCATAGATATAGACATAGTGATATACCTATATTTCAATCTATATCAATTGAGATATTGAAAATAAACCTTAGATTGCTATATCATAAATATAGGAATAATGATATATCTATGTTTCAATCTATATCGACCAAGACATTCAAAAAAGACTTAGATTTCTGTATCAGAGGTATAGAAATAATGATATATCTATATCCTAATCAATATCGACTGAGATATTCAAAACAAAACTTCGAATTGTATATAATAGAGATAGGAATAATGATATTGGTATATATGAATCTATACCAATTGAGATATCGAAAAGAAGACTTAGATTTCTAAACGAGGCTATATACTGTAACCTGCATTCTTTGAGAAGTAATTCATTTTAGAGGGAAATTTTTCAGTTCTGTTTAAAGTTTAGACGTACATTCTTGCTTTGAGAAGCTACGTTGCAAAACATTTACTCGTGAAGGTAACAATCATTTTACTAATGCAAATCTCACGAATATTAGTGTAATCATGGAAGTTTTTTTTTCATGTATATTTATTCAAGATAAGAATAGATTGAAGCGGAATTGCCGAATTAGAAATGCTGCAGGTGAGACATACACGATAAGAGAAGAGCAGACAGGATCTGTGTTAGGTCTACTGTATGTTGTTTTGTTTATGAATCTTGATCTGATAATATCCGACCGGAGTAATTCAGTCGGTTGCTATAAGTTTCTTAATCTTCGCACGCTACAAGAGTTTTGCTGAATACTTACAGTTAGGATCTGATGAAACATTGGAGATAAGTAATGCATATGTGCTTGCACTGATTTTACATGCGGAGCTTAGAAAAATTCTTGTATGCACAAGATCTTATAGGATTTTATGTGATTTGGCGTCTGAATTTTGACATCGGAAGTTAGTCAGTATGTCAAAGGGAGTCATAGTCTTCAAGTCTTTTAATACAGAGTTTTGATGTCAGTCAAAGTCTCAAAGTCAGTGAGAGTCTCAAAGGGTGTGGGTGTCGGTGGGTGTGGGTGGGTGCGAGTGTGGGTGTGGTTGGATGTGGGTGTGGGTGTGGGTGTGGGTGGGTGTGGGTGTGGGTGTGGGTGTGGGTGTGGGTGTGGGTGTGGGTGCGT